CCCACAGAACCCAAACTTTGGGGTATCCCAAAGCTGCTCGCGGGTCAGGGCAATAAAGCCCCCCGGTTCGCAGTTTTCCGCCCTTATGGATGGAATCCCGGGGGTTTTTTGATCTTTTTCGCAACCCCGGGGCATTACCTCAAAAAATTTTCTGCTTTGCATCTGCAATCACAACGCTGATTCCCCGATCGCCACCACCATTGGATCTTGTAGTTTTCTCCCACCCGCTCTGGGGGGGGACTTTTTAACCTAGGCCTGTGTATGGCCTTCAATTAAAAGCTGCTTCCGTCCGCCACTCTGCCATGGAACTCTTGATATCGTCTCCCCACGCTGCCGGGGGGACTTTTTAACATAGGCCTCTGAGGGCCCTTTTAATTGAAGCTGCTTACGCTCCCCCACTCTGCCTGGGCCTTTTGGGTACCCCAGAAGTGCTCAGCGGGTCAGGGCAATAAAGCTCCGGTTCGCGGGTTGTTCCGTTTTTATGGAGGGAAGTACGACTTTTTAGGAATGGGACTGGCCAGCAATGGGGGGGACCATGCCTTTTGATCTGCAGTCCCAGGGTGGCCGCGGGTGTCCCAGCAATCGAGACTAAAACCTTTCAGCCAGCAAAACCCTGGAACGTGATATGGTTATTTAAGGGATGGCCAGACTTGCAGACTCTCCCTTGGTGTTGTTTTGCCCTGGGCCCTGAATTGTCCTGCACCTGTTTTGGCCCTTGCTGACTTCCCCCTGCTCTGATCCTGGCTTGTGACCCGACCATCCCTCTGTTGACCCCTGTACACGCTGTTTGCTACCTGTTCTGATCCCGGGCTTGTGCCCGGGACCACCCCCTCTGCCTGACCCCTGTATATGCGCTTGCTACCTGCAAACCCTGGCCTGTGACCCGACCATTCTCCGCTTGCTCCCCCTTACCTACCTCCCCAATTTGAATTGCCCCGGGCCTGCGACGACGCTTGCTTTTTTATTCTGTTTTTGTGGGGGTTTTGGGTTTGGGGTTTGTTTGCACCGTATTATTTTTTGTATTGCCTGCGTTTTGTTTGTAGTTAGTTTTAAAAAAATTTAATTTGGTTTATAACATATCTGAGGTTTGCTTTTCTACCTGCTTCAGTCACACACCTCTGGTCATACCTGGGAGCTCTGAACATTACACCAAGGCCATCCTGGACCAGAACGTGGCTGCACAGGGAAAGCCAGCTCTGGCTTGATTGATGGGAAGGATGGTGCCTGAGGAGGTTGGTTATTTATATCTGCTAGTGTTTGATGACTGGGAGTTATGCTTATCAAACTCTGAAGGGAGTATACCCGGGTTGAATGATATTTGCGAGAATTGTATACGGCTCGCTCATGTTCTAGTAGTTCAGGGCACAGTATTCTCTGAGTGCAGCATTGATTGAGGTTTGTGCAGAGTTCGGTTTTCATCTGGTTCCCCGAATGCAGGGATTGATTTTTTGCCACCATTTAGTGCAGGACCAGGTAGAGTCCCTGGTTTGGTTTTTTTAAAAGTGGCTTGATGTGGGTTACTTTTCTGGAGCGTTATTCCACATGTTCACCACCAGACACTAAGAGATTGTATAAACGCAGTGCAGTCAATTGACCAGACAGGACTTGTGTAAGCTCTGCTTTGTTCAAACCCATACTGGCTGACATGGACAGATTTGTTGACACCAAGCCTCAGTCAGCTTACAAAGACCAAGTCTGCTTCTACTCTATTCCTCTAAAACCCTATTCAGCATTCTCAGTTCCAGCTCTCCAGTGTCCTTGGCCTATCTACCGCCATGTTCAGTTACCCTGTTCCCACTCGGCTGCAACCTCATTCCTGCCTTTAACCCTGTAAAAGAGCCCTCTGTATGCAACTGGCCTCCCTCTCCTGTTCCATTCCTCCACTGTTCTTCTCTGTCTCCAGCTGGCTCCATTTCGTTTGCAGACCTGTGTTTACTTGCAGTGCTCCAGTAGTTAAAACCAGCAAAAGCGAAAAATTCTTTCCAACCAAATACCATCCTGCCAGTATCCAAACCGGTGAGCCTGCCTTCCGTGGTTGGTTCAGACTGATGCCTGTACGCAGCCTGATGCCTCTACTCGGCATGTAGCCTCTACGCGGCCTGAAGCCTCTACTCGGCCTGATGGCCTCTACTCGGCTGATGCCTTACTCGGCCTGAAGCCTCTCCTCGGCCATGAAGCCTCTACTCGGCCTGAAGCCTCTACTCGGCCTGATGAGCTCTACTCGGCCTGATGCCTGTACTCGGCCTGATGCCTGTACTCGGCCTGATGCCTGGTACTCGGCCTGATGCCTGTACTCGGCCTGATGCCTCTACTCGGCCTGAAGCCTCTACTAGCTGCCTAATGCCTCTACCCAGCATGATGAACTGATCCAGCCTGACGATCCTCCTAATTTAGGCCAGTTGACTCGATGCCGCTGTTGATCCAGATGATCCGGTACCTGATCCGGTGCCCGCTGTCGTGCAATTGACTCAGAGCCCGCTGTCGTACCTGGTGACTCGGTGCCCACTGCCTCCCTGCCAGATGACGCGGTGCCCGCGCTGGCAAGCCAAAATGACTGATGCTGGTGACCTAGTGTCCGCTGTCATACCTGATGACCCGATGCCCGCTGTCGAGCCAGACAATCCGGTACCTGATGACCCGGTGCCCACTGTGTGCCTGTTGACTCGGGAGAGACCCACTGCCTTGCCAGAAGATGACGCGGTGCCCGCTGTCGAGCCAAAATGACCTGATGCCTGGTGACCCGATGCCCGCTGTTCCAGCCAGACGATTCATGTCTAACCCTGTGCCCGCGGTCATACCAGTTGACTCGGAGCCCACTGCCTTGCAGGATGACGCGGTGCCCGCGGTCGAGCCAAATGACCTGATGCCTGGGTGACCCGATGCCCGCTGTCCAGCCAGACGATTCAATGTCTGCCCCGGTGCCCGCGGTTCATGCCAGTTGGACTCGGAGCCCACTGCCTTGCCAGATGACGCAGTGCCCGCTGTCGAGCCAAATGACCTGATGCCTGGTGACCCCGATGCCCGCTGTCCAGCCAGACCATCCAATGTCTGACCCAGTGCCTGCGGTCATTACCAGTTGACTCGGAGCCCACTGTCGTGCCTGGTGTCTCGGTGCCCACCGCTCCGCCTGGGGGCCCGTAGACCTGTGTTGCTCCGCTTGGGGGTCCGGCGCCCGCCGCTCCGCCTGGGGATCCGGCGGCCCCGCCGCCCCGCCTGGGGGCCCTGAGACCTGTCGCTTCCGCCTGAGGGCCGAGACCTGTCGCTCCGCCTGGGGCTCCGGCACCTGCCACTCCGCTTGAGGGCCCGAGACCTGTCGCTCCTCCTGGGGGTCCGGCGCCCGCCGCTCCGCCCTGAGGGCCCCGAGACCTGTCGCTCCACCTGGGGGTCCGGCGCCCGCCCGCTCCGCCTGAGGGCCCGAGAGACCTGTCGCTCCATCTGGGGGTCCGGCGCCCGCCGCTCCGCCTGAGGGCCCGAGACCTGTCGCTCCTCCTGGGGGTCCGGCGGGGCCCCGCCGCTCCGCCTGAGGGCCCGAGGACCTGTCGCTCCGCCTGGGGGTCCGGCGCCCGCCGCTCCGCCTGAGGGCCCGAGACCTGTCGCTCCTCCTGGGGGTCCGGCGCCCGCCGCTCCGCCTGAGGGCCCGAGACCTGTCGCTCCGCCTGGGGGTCCGGCGCCTGCCGCTCCGCCTGAGGGCCCGAGACCTGTCGCTCCTCTGGGGGGTCCGGCGCCCGCCGCTCCGCCTGAGGGCCCGAGACCTGTCGCTCCGCCTGGGGGTCCGGCGCTGCCGCTCCGCCTGAGGGCCCGAGACCTGTCGCTCCGCCCGGGGGTCCGGCGCCCGCCGCTCCGCCCTCCCCCCCCCCGAAAACCCCTCCGCCTGGGGGTCCGGTGCCCGCCGCTCCGCCTGGGGGCCCGAGACCTGTCGCTGTGGGGGTCCGCCCGCCGCTCCGCCTGGGGGCACGCATGCCTGTCGCCCCGCCTGGGGGCACGATGCCTGTCGCCCGCCTGGGGGCCCGGTGCCTGTCGCCCCGCCTGGGGGCCCGGTGCCTGTCGCCCCGCCTGGGGGCCCGGGGCCTGTCGCCCCGCCTGGGGGCCCGGTTGCCTGCTGATCCGCCGGGGGGGCCCGGTGCCTGCTGATCCGCCCGGGGGGCCCGGTGCCTGCTGATCCGCCCCGGGGGCCCGGTGCCTGCTGATCCGCCCGGGGGGGCCCGGTGCCTGCTGATCCGCCCGCCCGGTGCCTGCTGCTGCTCCGGCTGGTGGCCCGCTGCCTGCTGCTCCGCCCGGGGGCCCCGGTGCCTGCCGCCCCGCCCGGGGGCCCGGTGCCTGCCGCCCGGCCCGGTGCCTGCCGCCCCGCCCGGTGGGCCGGTGCCTGCCGCCCCGCCCGGGGGCCCGGTGCCTGTCGCCCCGCCCGGGGGCCCGGTGCCTGTCGCTCCGCCCGGGGCCCGGTGCCTGTCGCTCCGCCCGGGGGCCCCGGTGCCTGCTGATCCCGCCCGGGGAGGCCCGGTGCCTGCTGATCCGCCCGGGGGCCCGGTGCCTGCTGCTTCGCCTGGTAATCCGATGTGCCTCTGCCCGGAGTCCTGCCCGATGTGCCTCTGCCCGGAGTCCTGCCCGATGTTGCCTCTGCCTGGAGTCCTGCCTGGATGTGCCTCTGCCCGGTGTGCCTCTGCCCGGAGTCCTGCCCGATGTGCCTCTGCCCGGTAGTCCTGCCCGATGTGCCTCTGCCCGATGTGCCTCTGCCCGAGTCCTGCCCGATGTGCCTCTGCCCGGTGTGCCTCTGCTCGATGTGCCTCTGCCCGGAGTCCAGCCCGGTGTGCCGCTGCCCGGAGTCCTGCCCGGTGTGCCAGTCTTTGATATCCCGCCAGTTGCCAGACCCGGGCGGTGGAACATTTTGCCCAGCTAGGACTGTGTTTGAGCGTCCTGAGGCCGCTCCTTGAGGGGGGGTACTGTTAGAATGGACTGGCCAGCAATGGTGGGACTCACCTGCCTTTTGATCTGCAGTACCAGGGCTGGCCAGCGGGTGCTCCCAGCAATCAGAGACTCAACCTTTCAGCCAGCTAACACCTGGAACTGATGATGCTGGTGTATTTAAGGGATGGCCAGACTTGCAGACTCTGCCTTGGTGTTGTGTTTTGTCCTGGGCCCTGTATCTGTCCTGCATCCTGTTTCTGGTCCTTTGCTGACTTCTCCTGCTCTGATCCTGGCTTGTGACCCTGACCATCCCTCTGTCTGACCCTCTGTACTACGCGCTTGCTACCTGTTCTGATCCTGGCTTGTGACCCGGACCATCCCTCTGCCTGACCCTCTGTACTATGCTGCTTGCTACCTGCTGAACCTGGCCTGTGACCCCGACCATTCTCCGCTTGCTCCCCCTGTACCTACCTGCCCAATTGATATTGACCCGGCCTGCCTGACGACGCTTGCTTGTATATACTGTTATCTGTGGGTGGTTTGGTTTGGTTTGTTTGCACCGTATTATGTTTTAGTATTGCAACTGCGTTTATGTTTGTACTGTTAGTGTTAATAAATTATATTGTTTATAAACATATCTGAGGTCTGCGTTTCCCTGCTTCAGTCACACACCTCTGGTCATACCTGGGAGCTCTGACAGACGGTATATGATCTTCTTCGCACCCACGGCATCACCTCATAGAATCTCTGCATTGCATCTGCAATCACAAAAACGCTGACTTCCCGGATCGCCACTCAAGCCATTGGACTCTTGATTAGTCGTCTCCCCACACTGCTGCTGGGGGACTTTTTAACCTAGGCCTGTGTAATGGGCCTTTCCTTCAATTGAAGCTGCTTCCGCTCCGCCACTCTGCCATTGGACTCTTGATAGTCGTCTCCCCACGCTGCTGTTGGGGGGACTTTTTAACCTAGGCCTGTGTATGGCCTTCAATTGAAGCTGCTTCTGCTCCGCCACTCTGCCATTTGGACTCTTGATAGTCGTCTCCCCACACTGCTGCTGGGGGGACTTTTTAACATAGGCCTCTGTATGGCCTTCAATTTAAGCTGCTTACGCTTTCGCCACTCTGCCATGGGCCCCTGTACCGCCACTCCTCTTGCTGCTGCCTGCCCAGGTCCAGAGTGTGTCATGGGTCCCTGTACGGCCTCCCATTGCTGCTGACTTCATCGCCACAGACTCTGCCATGTGCCACTTTCAGGTCTCCTTACACTGTTGGTGGGTTCCATTTTGTGATAGGGTGCTGTATGGCCTTCCATTGCTGCTGCCTCCACCGCCACCCTGCGCCATGTGCCTCTGTCGTCTGCTCACGCTGCTGACGGCTTCCCCGCTTTTTAACCGAGGCCTGTGTTTGGCTTCCGAATACTGCTGCATCCACCGCCACCCTGCGCCATGTGGTCTCTGTCGTCTGCTCACGCTGCTGACGGCTTTCCGCTTTTTAACCTAGGCCTGTGTATGGCTTCAGAATAATGCTGCCTACACCGCCACCCTCATGCCATGTGCCTCTGTCGTCTGCTCACACGCTGCTGCCAGGTCCATACTGATTCATGGCCCCCTGTACCGGCTCCTCATGAACGTGGTTCAGCGGGTTTGCATCACTTAACGGCAAATCGTTGACAAACGCTGGGACGTTCAGTGTTGTGCGCATTAAGCCAGACACCAAAGGGCAGCACAGACCTGTTATTACTCGCTCAAGCATGGCTGAACAAAACCAGTCTCTACCACAAATTGGACCCAGACCTGCCCAGGGTCTCGTAAGTAGATTGCACGGAGGAGTAGAGTTCGTTATTGGAATTAACTGTGAGGGACTTTTAACCTAGGCCTGTGTATGGCCTTCAATTGAAGCTGCTTTCTGCTCCGCCACTCTGCCATTGGACTCTTGATAGTCGTCTCCCCACGCTGCTGCTGGGGGGACTTTTTAACATAGGCCTCTGTATGGCCTTCAATTTTAGCTGCTTACGCTCCGCCACTCTGCCATGGGCCCCTGTACCGCCTCCTCATGCTGCTGCCAGGCCCGTAATCTGCCATGGGCCCCCGTACCGGCTCCTCATGCTGCTGCCAGGCCCGTAATCTGCCATGGGCCCCCGTACCGGCTCCTCATGCTGCTGCCAGGCCCGTAATCTGTCATGGGCCCCTGTACCGCCTCCTCATGCTGCTGCCAGGTCCAGAGTGTGTCATGGGTCCCTGTACGGCCTCCCATTGCTGCTGTCTCCATCGCCACACTCTGCCATGTGCCACTTTCAGGTCTCCTCACACTGCTGGTGGGTTCCATTTTGTCATAGGGTGCTGTATGGCCTCCTCCCATTGCTGCTGCCTCCACCGCCACACTGTGGCTCCACACTCTGGTTTTTGCCCCGTGACTGCCCAAATGAGTGAAGTGTGCGGTGATTCTAAGATCGACGGCACTCATCTGCATGTCATACTGACTGACAGTATTATTTCTCTTCCCCAGCAGACTCCAAGGGCATTTAAATTAAAGGTACAGTGTTCTGCACTAATATAAAGGCTCTCTGAAGCCTAGAAACACCCTTTTTTATAAGTTAAATTCGCAGCGAATATATTCGGCTCGAATCAAATTTATGCGGCGAATTTCGGCGAATCAGCCGAACCAAATTTTTGAATAATTCGCTCATCTCTAGTACTACTATGTGACCAGGCTTACCAGGCACTGATGCTTATCTATCATTCATATGGTGTATCTGTACTCTAGCTTTTAAGTCAAATGCACAATATGTGGTGAATTTGTATATAAGCTTTTAAAAAAACAAGAACATTTAAAACATATCTTCCTATTATCAGTTTGAACAACCCTAATGTGGCCAGCGCTTTTTTTTTTTATTCAGTGCACTTTTTAAGTGTCCTCAATCCTACACTGATTTATTACATATCATAAATATATTTTGAATTTCATTTAACCTATGAAGAAAATACAAAGATACAACACATACAGTTAGCATAATCCCTAGACCAATAATGGTCACCCCTAAATAATCACTGATGTTGATGATGCTTTCAAATTGTAATAATAGAAAATGAAACAAATAGGGTCATTTGCTTATTTTCTACACTGTTTTTTGATCTCTATTAGGAGTTTACAACTCGGCAGTTTCATTATAAATTTATGAGGTTTATAGGAAACAAAAGGTTTATGTTTTGTGTTTTTTTTCTATACTTACATCTGGTTTTAACTACTTAAATGTGGTTTTATCCACACCTTAGAAGTTTGATCAGTGCTACAAATGTTGTAAGAGTAGAATTGTGAAATACTGTAATCTACACAGAGATCGTCATTTCTAGAGCCTCTCTATAGCTGTAGGTGTCCCTTTCCTAAATTGTATTTACTGCAGGAATACAAAGGTATGTTTCTCATAGAATTGTTGATGAAATTGGTGTGTGGAATATTCAGATCAGTGTGCTATGTTGCATCATAATGCAAAGGAAATGTTGAACTATGTATTTCTAGTTTCTGACTATTGTTGCAACATTTATGAATGAACAAAGAGAGGACCAAATAAAGTGCATGAGTAACATGTTGAAGAAGAACATTAAATGTACAGTATGTTAACACTTCCACCTAGCAGCACCAGGGTCTTTGGTTTGAATCCCAACCCACGGCATAACCTGCAGCATGGAGTTTGCATGTTCTCCCTGTGCCTGCATGGGTTTCTCCCACACTCAAAAGATATACTCGTAGGTTAATTGCCTCCTGTCTAAATTGGCCTAGTATGTGTATGTATGAATGTAAGTTAGGGACCTTAGATTGTAAGCTCCTCGAGGGCAGGGACTGATGTGAATGTATAATAAATATGTAATGCACTGCATAAAAATTGACCAGCAAATATATATGTACCTGTAATAAATAAAGCCAACATAAAAAAATGCAAATAACATACTCCCATCCTGCTCATAGATAACCAGCCCTTAACTCTTTTAATATATCTAGGCATACTAGTCAACTTTGTAACTCATGAAACTTTTATCTTAGTCCTTTTTTTTCTATGCTTTGAGGCGACTAGCCTCACAGGTTAAGACTATCCATACACTATACAATTTTCGTGTCCAATTTTCCTTTATATTTACCAAAATATATAATATAATATGAGGTCAAAACCTAAACACTTTCAATTTGTATGCAGGCAGGCCTGGCCACTACATAGATCGAAGTAATTCAAGGGAAATTGATACGAAAATTAATAATGTATGTCCAGGATTATGCTTGTGGAAGGACCATTTCAAAACTTGTGGAACGATTTTCTTAAGCCAGAGCGGGCATGGTCCAACATCCAATGGCTCAGCAGAGATCGCGGAGCGATTCCCTTGCTGAGCAAGGGGCACTCAGTGGATCCCAACCTAGTATGAAGGGGCCCTAAATCATTGGCATTGTTTTACATCGCTCACTTGTCTGCTAGCTTATATAAAACATGGGAAAAAGCATCTTTACTATGTAAAAGGCCCAGTTTTTTTAAACACACCAGGAGTTGGTGCAGGCCTTTGGCTGAAGTAGAGCTGCGTGTGTGGTACTCACTCCACATCTGAGTTTGATGGTCCCAAGGAAGGTATGTGGGGCCAGAATGCAGAAGGAGTATTAAAATTTTACTAGCACATGTTTACGATTGAATACGTTTTATTCACTAAACACACAGAAATTCATTTTCCAAAATGAAAGCCTTACCTGTAAATCAACCCCCAAAAATGTTATTTAAGCTCTTGGGTATATTTATAAAGGCACCACTTTTAAAATGAATTTATCTTAGCTTGTGAATGAGGTAAAGTTGTTCGACTTCATTTTATCCCAATCAGTGAAGCAAATATTTTTTTTTTTGCAAATGTTTTTTTTTTTTTTCTATCACATGATGGGGTATTTTTTGTAAAATTTTAAATTTTTACTTTTTAAATTCTCTTTCC